GAGCAATGGCGTCCAGAAAAGAGGAATGAAAAAAGGAGAGGTGGACCCGAGACACAGAGACAGGGGGAGGCAAAGCCAGGTTTTGCTCGAGCAGTCAGTGGCTGTAGCCATTTCCCTAAACCCTAAACCCTAAACCGTCTATTGGTGTCTTGGATCTTCCGCGTACTCCACTGTGGCTACGTACAACACCAACCTGGAAGCCTCTTCCAACACCAAAACACCAGAGCAACCTTTGCACCTCGTCTGGCGTTGTGGACTCAACAGACGGCTCCAGCACTCCCGGCCCACCCAAAGACGCGAAGTTGCTCCCCATGGCATGGCCTTCGTAGGATTCGAGATTGGCGCTGAGGTGCAGTCATCTACAGTTGCGCAATAGCAGAGTTGCCAAGAGCCAGGCCTTCAACGATCCAAGCTTCCGGCAGCAACTATAGAGTCTATAGAGCTACAGAAATACAAAATGCAACAGGTCGCAGTGGCAGCTTTCGTTGTTTATCGGGTGCGATACTGCCACGATGTAGAGCGGTATCAACCACCCGAACGACCCACAGAAAGCCCGAAGACTTCGCAAGCTTCAACCCGGAAGACAAAACAAAAAGGTGCAAGCGGCACCAGCTTCCGAAACACAAAATCAACTCCAAAATGCAAGATGTCTAACCCCAAATGGTCAGCCAAGTGGCCGAAAGGCACAAGCGGTGTGAAGTGGCCGAATGGCAATAACAGGCCAGGTGTAGGACTCGTAAAGCCTCGGGCGCGACTTCATCGCTTCCTTTCCGTCTGATTACTTACTATCAACTGTCTCCTGCTCTTTAATTGAGCTGGGCGTTTGGGGCTCCATGTTGATGTTGAGTTGACTCGTCGAGACTGGGTCATACATCGTACAAACTCACTTCTTCCTGTCACTGTTGCACTTTCCGTTGACACAACGGGAGCACTTCCAACAGCGACTATTTTACTGCTTGGCTACGACTGATCTTACTTTACTGCCCCACCTGCAAGTCCCACAAGTATTAATATCTAAATTTAATTCGAGGGTGACTGATGGGCCTAAACACTCCTATCAGAATTACACTGAATGCTATCATTTCTCAGCTCTTTCTAGTGCTCGTACTGTTGTTTTGCTGTTATTCTTGCTGTAGCTGTTTCTGTTACTGGTGCTACTACTGCTGACATTACGACGACGACGAGGAGGACGACGACGACGGGTATGTGTACTACTAATGCTACTCCTAGTACTAGCTGAAGCCCGAAAACCTGCAGAAGCAGCAGCAAAGCAGGCCAGATACTCCAGATTGTCTCTCTCAGTCTACGCCGGACTTCAAGCAAGAGCAACTTCTTCTACCGTACCGTACCGTACCGTTCGGAGCAAGGCTTTGTTCCCAGCATCAGTATTGCCCCGTTGCGTCTGTCGGCGACACGGCAGGCAAAGCAATACAGGATTAGAGTTGTTGATGAGCGAGAAACAAGACCAACAAGCAACCAGACTCCTTCATTGGGGCAAACTGATCAGGTGCTGCGCAGGTCGACCACTATGGGCTGCTCCGTCTCATGTTGCGTGCTTTCAAGCTGGTCTAAGGTTCCAACGCGCGGCGACGTTGACTGAAAGGTCGGTCCAATTGACGTCTCGGTCGCGGTGGCGATGCCGCCAATGCTCACTCATCGTGCGAAGGCGAGGCTAGGCTAATGCTGCACAGCTGTTTGTAAGGCTAGAACCTCCCAGAAGAGTCATTGGCTGAGTTGCAGGTCCCCAGCCGATCGGGGGTGTGGTGACCTTCATGCTGGCTTGGGCTCCGGACGCAGGCAGTGCATGCATCCCAGAAGCAAACACCTACGAACAACCTTCAGTAAAATTACCCTGCGTTCGACATCCTTCCATACTTCATCTTGAAGCCGTCTTCCGTGACATCGAAAATGTGTGCGAATGCATCGTGTGATGTGTAGCGATGTTCAAGTTAGAAGCTGCAGCCGGAATAGACCGGAAGTCGCCATCGCTTCGGGCAGAACAACCTGACAAGAATAATCGCGTGACCCAGATGCCTGTCGGCAGTCGGCAATGCAGTAAGTACGGTAAGTAGTCAACTGTCCTTTACGTGTCTTTGCCTCTGGTTGAATGGGGTGTTGGGCTAACTCAGAAACGCTCACAACCGAGTTCAGATTGACAGAAACCCCGGTGGCTGGGACCTTAAAGGCCAGTCTTGGCCCAACCTTGGTGTGAAACTGTGACACTACGTACATTCTCGGGCTGCCTAGCTCGCCTGGTCTCCTCTTCTATGTCGGGCATGTACCCTTTAAAGAGCGGTTGCCGGAAGGAGCCAGCGCTACAAGTTCCTCGACCCGCGACCCTGTTGCAGCGCAGCCTGTTGTTCGAGAACGCGTGTCGTTTGAGGATCGCTCCTGGCAGCACTTGGATCCCTGACGTAATACCCATGCGTTGCTTGAAGCAAGCAGCGCTGGAGAATTCAGGAGTCACGCGGAGCCGTATTTTTTGCGGAGGCCTTTGCTACACTGCAGCTGCTTGGGCTCAACCATTGCTTCGTCGCGGCACGTGTGCTTCGCGGCTTCAGCTGCTGCACATCACGACACAGTAGTCAGCTGACACGCATGAGATGCAAAGGAGAAGCCTGCTGCAGCTACGTACATTGTATCACGTGATGATGTGAAAGTTGTGCTTGATGGACATGGCAAACATGGTGATGATGGTGGTGGTGATGGTGGTGGGGTGTTGCAATGTTGACTGACGACATTGCTGCTTTCTTAGTTTTCACTGTTCGCCATCTGCTATCCTATCACCGTTTACTGTCATGCCCGGTGGCCATTCCACCATCCAATAAAGTGCAGCTTTTTGCTCTACCCGTCTTTACGTCAACAAGCTCTGCTATTAAGCGCATATCAGGCAGTTGCGGCTTGTGGCGGTTTAAGTGTCAGTACTTCCCACCGAAGAACTGTCAAGTATGTTACACAGGCAGAAAAAGGATATTGCGGGCCGCTGTATTGTTACACGCGTTGCTTCAGCTTGCAGTTGCTGCTGCTGCTCGTGCTGCTGCTGTGGTGAGAGGTACTGCTCTTGTGACATTGCCACTGAAGTTGATGGCACGAGTCCTGTCAGCAGCAGCGGCTGGCGCCTGTTGCCACACAATCAAGAGACGAGACTGACTCTGCATGCACTCCAACTAGACGTTCATGTTGTTTACCATGTTCAGAGCTTTGGTCGCTTGCAGCCGATGCAGCCTTGACGGTGTGCTGCCACCGGCAAAACGTTCGTACTGAAGGGGGTTTAACCAAGGCTTGTATCGTCTCATAAATCAAACGAGATCAAGTTGAATTGAAAGGTGTTGTTGTTATAGAGATATGATGGGGCCCTTTGCACATTCGCTTCAAGACCTGACGTGAACCTTCCCTGGCAGCCCAGTATGAGCGTGGCATCTGTCGATCTCTCGCAGGCTTCAGGAATGCTGATCCATGTTTTCAGACACAGAGTAGGAAGAAGAGACGGACAGAGAGAGAGACAGAGAGCGAGCAAGAGCAAGAGAAAACCATGGACACAAAGAGAGCTGCCGTCAGACCAGCTGATCCTTCCACCCAAACGTCGCTGCCTCGACCACCTCGAAAGCACCACCCTGGTCTGCAAAGAAAGCAGCAGCTCGGTAGAGGGGCTGCGACTCAAAGTCCTGGCTCTCTCTTTGGGAATGTGTCCAGGGCTCAGTCTCTGCTGTAGCTAGACTAAGGAGATGCATACAGATAGTTGTGCAGTATGCCACAGGGGCCGGAGAAATCCGAATTCCAGGCACCACCCATCTTCTGCTCTTTCGATCGCAGGCCCATCCGTCAGAGTGCATGGCTAATGGATCTGAACTCTCTAAAAGTTGGTTGAGTCTCAGTGATGAACCCCCTCCATCCCAACCTCTGCAAGAGATATTGGTAACAGATTGGCGACCTGTGAAACGAACGATGCGGACCTGCGAACTGTGCCATCATTCCTGTAGTGTGTCGCCAAGACAGATTTCAACAAAGGCCTCCGCAGCCTTTCTTCTGCCGCTAGCCACTAGCCGCCACTAGCCTAAGCCTCTTTGCCGCTCCACGCCTCGAGAAAAGGAAAAGGGAACGGCTGTTGTGGCGGCACCTCGCAGAAATGGAACAAAGGGAATTGGTCAGAAGGATTTCACTGCAAGATTAAACAAAAGGAGGAAGGAGTTGTGGCCTGCGCCTCCAGCAAAGTTGCAGCTGCGGTGCGGTTTCCCTGCTTGGTGGCCTCAGCTTCTTCTGCAAGCAAACCTGCTGCTGTCTTGCGAGTCTTGGCGATCAGTACAGAATAATGATTGAGTGGTGCATGGTGGCACATGACGTAACGTAGAGCGGGAACCAGAAGCTTCCACAAAGACTTGCGAGCAAATGCATCTGACCATCTCACACAGAGTTCACTAATTCCCACGACCCCTAAGCATTCCACAGTTCCGAGAGTACTGATGGTTATGATCGCGTCCACGGGCACGTCGATCCTCCAGAGCATCGTGCGAATCGTTCCGCTCCTATGGGATGGATCCGATATCATGGTTACGAACTTCTCAAGGCTTTACCAGCCACTGCTAAGATACACCTATCCTGCAAGACTGAATCTGAATCTGGAATGATCAGAAACGATAGATAGGACCGCAGTCTGCAATCCTCAAGAAGCCTTTCTCGGTCACTTGCATGTCAGGCAATCGCTGAAACCTCAGCATGCTCAGGTTCGTGGAGCAGCTGTGCAGCATGGTTAACGCGGACGTCACTGTTGAAGCCGCAAACATGCAGCGAGGTCCCCGCCAGTGGCTGCTATTCGTTGCCCAGACCTGCAAGATTGACGTGAGGTTCTAAACCCGAGAGGGGGTGCATCCATACGTATGATATAACTACACAGGTCAGGCTGGCTCTGTGCGTGTGCATTTGCACATGTGCGTGTGTGTGTATGTATGCATGCATGCATGTAGGTATGTATGCATGAAGTATGAATGCATGTATGTGTGTAGTATGGATAGACGATAGATACGTATATATGAGCCTTTATCAAACTTCTTATTCATGGCCCAAACTATGGATGATTTGGGGGGGTCCTATCGCTTACAGGGATTTCGTCAGTACGGTGGTCGTGGAATGCCGGATCTTGCCAATTTCCTTGGAAAGCCAAGGACCCCCCAAAAAAGCGATACGATCAACAAAGACCACCTGCTGTGACATTTCAGTGCTGCCGCAGCATGTGTGCCTCACATTTTCCGTGTGATATGTGGCTAGCATCGATACCCTGATCGATACCCAAATCGATGCCCTAATCGATACCCACTAGTTCGTTTCGTGACTCACAGCCCCGTGTGATGGAAAAGGGCAGTAATGGGCAGTATAGGGCAGGTAAATAGCAGCAAAGGGCAATAAAGGGCCGTAAAGGGCCGTAAAGGGCAGTAAAAGGCAGTAAAGGGCAGTAAGGGGCAGCAAAGGGCAGCAAAGGACATTAAAGGACACAGGTAAACGGCAGTAAAGAGCAGTAAAAGGCAGTGAAGGACAGAAGGGCAGTGAAGGGGAGTAAGGGGCAGGTAAAGGGTAAAGGGCAGCAAAGGGCAGGGCAAGCTACGAGTAGGATCAGTGAGCCTGATGGTCTTCTTAGTTTGACAAGAGCAAAGCGATACCTCTCAGAAACATGCCTTAACTACAATTACCGAAGGTTTGACGGATGCTCATATGTACATATATGACTGCACTGTGGTATGTCACCGTCGGTAGCTTACTGTTCCCAAACACATGCTGCCTCAAGGCTTCGACCCCGAGCCGCTGCGGCCAGCTTGCCTTGGGAAACACTGCTCCAGTGCACAAGCTAATGCTGGAAAATGATGTCAATGTGATTTTCCTCAAGAGGTCACTCAAAAGCGAGACCAAGCTTGGAAAGGCACTGAGACTTCGGGATCTGTGGCTACTGGAGGTGGGAAATTCTTGCTCGGGGGTGGCTTGCTGCACCGATTCTCTTGACTTCCGTTGCCGTCCGTCCTTGGCTTCCTGTGACCTCGTCCCTGCTCAAGCTCCACGATTATTGAGGTCGGGTCTGCTGAGCTGAAGCTGAAGGCTCTGCGTTTTCTGCGCCTTGATGCTGTGTAAGCCTCGACAGGGAGCCACTGCAGCAATATACCAATAGCAGGGCAGTCTCTGTGACCGTGTTCTCACGTCAGCCGCTCCAGCTGTGCAGCGTGTCTTGGAGGCATTGGGAAGCGCAAACATAAGGCAGCCGCATCCGTCATTGTACATGCAGGTGCCTGGCCAAACTCTCTCAGGCCTGATTGCTACGGACAGTCTCGGAATCGCAGAAGGCTGAAATCAACAGATGCAGCCTTGATTTAAGGTACTGTAATGCGTCAAATCCACCACTGCCGGCACAACCACAAAGAACAACAAGAGCAGCGGCAGCAGCGACAACAACTAATTACAACTACAACTATGACGCCGACGACCACCAGAAGGACAACAACGACGAATACGACGACTCCCACCCACACCTCCTCCTCCTCCTCCTGCAGTGAAGTAGTAGTAGTAGTCGTCGTCGTCGTCGTCGTAGTCGTCGTCGTCGTCGTAGTAGCAGTAGTAGTACTAAAAGTAGCAGTAGCAGTAGCAGCA